TATATAAATTACAGTGATAACTATATATCCATACAGTACACATTCACTGGTCTGAAAGATGGGCGGCCACATAAATATGCCAAAATAAATGAACAAACAAATAAATACACACTTAGAAGGCAGTTTCTACATCGAACGGAACAAGGGAGACAGGAGAGATTTCAGGAATGGGGCCAGTGTGCAGGGAGGTTTTTCTGCAGACTCAAAATGGGTGGGATGCGTATCAGGAGGGGGAAAGATCCTTAGGAGGGTCTCGCGCCACCCGCTATCCGCCTAACGTGGCTGGGTTGCGGGTGGCTGAGCCGGTTACCCAAAAAGCTGTGGTTCAACAAGCCACTTTTGTAAGCACGGCTCCTATGGGAGTAGTTAAGGCTACATGACAGGGCAGGTCCAAAAAGCTTGGGCCCAACGTATTTCGAATGATTTAAATATATCTTAAATAAATAGATATTGTTTTATTGTACTTATTTATTTTATGTTGTACACCACCCAATTCAGACAGTGGGACTCTGGGCGGTGTACAACATAAACAAATAATTATAATTATAATTATTATTATTATTATATAATTATTATTATTACTAATATTATTATTAAACTGGCAACCAGGCAGAGCACAAAACCAATCTCAAAAGGGGGAGCCGTAAGCCTGGGGGAAGAGCCAGGTCATAAGGAATTTCCTAAAGGCCAGGAGAGTTGGGGCCTGTCATATATTATATAGTAGAATTAGGGTTTCTGTTCATTACCCCCAAATAACGGACTCCTATCGTTGGAATTCCCTCATCCTAGGCCGCTACGTCTCCCCTAGGCTCGCTCTGGACACACCCGGGGGCTGAGACCCCCTCGGCACTCTGCACGCGCCCAGAGGCACCCTCGCTCACCTTCTCCACTTGTTCGGCCAAAGCCACCAGATCTGACGGCTGCGCCTTTCGAGCGGCGGGGGCCAGATGGAGACCCTCAGAAACGCCCGGGGTCGGTCCAACCAATGCCGAGTTCTCCGGCGACGCCGGAACCGGAGCGAAAGCCGCATCCGCTTTGGCCGCCATTCCGGGGCAGCATAGGCCACGTCCCCCCGCCTCCTATTGGACGCCGGCACACGGGTCTAAATCGGAGGCGTAGCCGTAGAGGCGGGCCGGGGTGGGCGGGGCCAGCCTTTCATTGGGCGGATGAACAAAGCGGGCCCGCGGTCCGGGAGGAGGGGGAGGCCGCGGGCGAGCTGCCAACAGGGGGCGCGG